ATATAATCTATCTATATCTATATATATATATATATATATATATATATATATATATATATAAAATCAATTATAAATGATTGAATATTATATTTTTATATATTTGTTCTTAATTATATATTCCAAATTTTTTGTAATCAGCAAAATTAATAAAAGACAGAAGAACAAAATCGAAAGGTTTCCAAAAGAGGTCCAAGATTTTTGTAATTTAGATTGGGGTCCAATGCCAGATTTATGAACGCCAGTTTTAAAATGCCAGTTTCCTTTCCTAAACCAGAACTGGAAAAACCTGGAATGATGAAGTATTTGAGAAAGGCACAAATGAATATGCCTATTAAAATTAAAATCAACTGAGGCTTGAAAATGGAAAACATCTTTTGTGTCTGTCAATCTGACAACTGTTGAACCAGTGGACTGACCGTATAGAAGCCAATGCTGAGCAGCAAGGTCTTCAGGAGCACTTCAGCCAGGTGGAGATGGTCTGGAGCTTCTGAGCCTGAGCTAACACTTCCTGTGGGGCGGTCAGGGGTGGGCGGCAGTGCCAGACCTGCACTCAACTCCCCAGGTGAGCTGTATCCCAGCAGGGATGCCACATGACTCTGTTCCTGCAGGCTGTTCAGCACCATGTCCAGCTGTAGACGCTGTAATAGTAATATCACCGAATCATTAGTGGAGCGCAATGGAACAGCAGGGGTTTCTCAGCAAATATTGATATACGTGCCAGACTTGAATATTGTTGTGTTTGCGTACCTGTCCTTTAGAGAGGCTTTCCCAGCTCTCTGGACCCTGTGGTAACAGCGAGTGCAGCAGCTCCGTTCTCTCCCTGAGAGGAGGCAGCAACAGAGATGCTCCGATGGACAGCGTGCTCATTACCGCCTCAACGCACAAACAAAAATTAATTACTATGGTGTAGAAATGACTCATATGCTGGCATTCTGACAGATGATTCAGTTGAAAGAGTTACACTGAACTCTTGAAGGTTGTGAAAGTCATGTCTCCTTCAAACACCCTCAAAGAGAAAACAGAGCCAACAAATTCCATCCTCTTAAGAGTTTTTAACATGTGGGCAGAACTCCAGCAGCATATGCAAGCATTCTGTTTGGCTAAAGTTGTTTACTGTTTTGTACTGTTGCCAGAAATTATAGATTGTACAGTTGCAGCTTTTGTTTTTTAAAGAATTTTGAACACAAAAAAACTATTTTGAGCATTAAAACAATTCTGTATGAAAACACCCAGTGGATATAATACACATTTAAAATAAATAAATAATTAAATATAATAAAAAAAATAATTTATTATGTTTAATAAAAGAGTCACAGTAGCTTTCACAATGGCTACAACTTCAGCTTCATGGCTACAATTTCTGTGTGATTTTGCACCAGTTCCCCACAAAATAAGAGGTTTTCTTCTCTTGAACACAGTGCTCTTTATTCACAAATTATGTTTTCCTTTTTTTAATATATATTTTTTGTTATATATATTTCATTGTCATTAGTAAATTAAATTAGCAACTTGGATGAAAACACAGCTATTGACAAATAACATATGCCTTGCCAAGTATAATTTTCCAAAGAGCACAATAAATCACAAAACAAAACAGATATTCATATATGCATAACTGTTTAGCACATTCTGCGAGCTGTTTCTTCTAATCTGAATTTAAGGTAAAAAATGACAAAGGTACATTACTTTTCAAAAGTTTGGTGTCGGTAAGATTTTTAAATGTTTTTGAAAGAAGCCTCTTATGCTCACCAAGGATGCATTTGTTTGAGCAAAAATACAGTAAAAATATTTTGGATTCTCTGATGAATAGAAAGTTCAAAACAACAGAATTTATTTGAAATTGAAATCTTTTGTAAATTTTAATTGTCTTTACTGTCTCTTGATCAATTTAATGTTTCCTTACTGAATTGTAAATGTAAGTATATGCAAAAATTTCTGAATTTTGAAATAAACAGTAACTGTAAGTGATACTGATGTGGCATATAACATTTCAAAAAAAGAAAAAAAAAGAAAATGCATAACAAAAACACACTAAAGCCCACTGTTTCATAGCAGACCTGTTGTATGGAGTCTGGTACATTAGAGTCAATGAGTCTGAAGAGCAGGTTCCTGAGGGGCCGACCCTGAGCACCCAGCACTGTGGCCCCCGTTCCCCCTGCGTGGGCCAGCGACAGGTGGATGGATAACAGTTTCATACACAACAACAAAAACTGGTGATGTTCCCTGGAGAAGAAACAGAGGGCGAGAGTGAGAAGTTGAAGTCTAGAGTGAAATGAGAAGTCTAGAGTGACCTTTACCGAGTGCCAGGCCATATGCTGCTCTGACCCCCATCCCTGTGGGCATGGAGACGGTTATTGGCTTGTGCCAGTTACCCCTGCGGCTGTGTGTGTGTGTGTGTGTGTGTGTGTGTGTGTGACATTCCAGCTATATGAGTGTCTGCAGCTGACATTGACATTGACACAGATAAACCAGAATTCTTGCTTGCCTATGCAAAACTCTCTGCCACAGTTCTCTGGTGTGCTAAGTGGTTGCTAGGGCATTGCTATGCAGTTGTTTAGCTGATATGGTGGTTGCTATGTAGTGACTTGAGAGAAAAATTAAAACCTGAAGTAGAAACTTGGAGGCTAGAGTTAGAGGTTCATAAGTATGAGCAATAGTAACCCCAATCACTAGAGGCACAAATAATAAAATAAAACAAAACAAAACAAAAAAAGTTATGGATGGGGATGCTCTGTTAAAACAAATATTTAAAAAATAAAATATGAGAATATATGCGGCGCAATGCAATGCAATACATAAAAAGACAGTATAAGTCATTATAATCAGTAAATATGTCCCAACTGGATGCAACAAATGCCTTATTTATAATGGGTTTTATTGGTTTTGTCTCGTCGCGCCGGGACACGGCATCACAGTATGGTAAGGGGTGTAACATTTCGTCACACGCTTGAGGCATTCGGCCAATCACAACGCACTGGATAGCTGGCCAATCAGAGCACACCTCGCTTTTCAGAACGATGAGCTTTGTAAAAATCGATGCATTTCAGAAAGGCAGGGGGATAGAGGAGAAACAATAATGTACAGTATGTGCATTACACCAAATACACAAAATAATGTTCCTTTTTAGCAACATCATATGACCCCTTTAAGGTATTCTGGAAGCTTCCACATAATGGGAACAAGACATTTGACTCACTCTCTCTTTCGTTGGAGATAATGGCAGAATTAACATTTACAGAATGAAATGTTCTGACCTCAAGGTCAACATACATCACTTACCATCTTGGCCTCAGCAGGAAAATGTCTGCGATATTATATAATCTGTATGACAGCTCTTATGTAATCTCAAAGCTTGAAGTCGACAGATGTAAACTACTGACATCTGGCATTGCAAATGTCTATGAATCAGATTGGCATGTTTCAAGCATCCATCCATAATATGAAATTATATTTCATTCTTCATTTTATAAAGTATAACAAACATTTTTAATATTCTAATTTAAAAAAATAAATAAATAAACTCAAAATAGAAAAAATTATATAAAAACAGAAAAAAATATTAAAATAAAAATAAAAAAACTTAAATAACATTTATTAAAATGAATAAATATGTTTAAATCTATCCATATCCACATACCTACCTATCAAAGAACGAGATTTGTTGCATGATTTGCTTTTAAAACAGTAATATCTGACACTCTGTGCCTCTATACATACATTAAACTGTACATATTTTCGATTAATGGTTTGTGGTTAAAATCACAATCCATCATTTGTAAATCTGGGTGAGTTGGTGCTGGGTTTTTACCTCTTAGAGGGGAAAGGTGCAGGTGGTGTGTCCCCACTGATACTATCGCAGTAACGCTCCAGGAAACTGCGCAGGTATGTAAACGTGCTCTCCTCGAGATCCACACAAAATGGCCTGTGCCAAGCCACCAGCTGCCTGCCAGGCGCACAAATACACATTGATAGTTCACACTCAGTCCTGTCAGGAAAACAATGCAACTGAATAGCTGTGAATAATGGAAAATGAAAAATGTAAATGCGAATGTATTAATACATTAGCGGTGAAACTCACACCAGGTTTTTGATTACGTTTTTGATTTGTGAAAATGAGAAAGGTGCCGTTTTCCGTAGGCTCAAACTCATTTAAGGACAAACTGCTTTTGGTTAGGGTTTAGATCAGGAAGAGACAGCTTTTTATTCCATTTGCATTATCCATAAGCAATGAGATGCATGAAATACCGAATATGCACTGTGGAAAAGCCATCAAATCTCAACTAATGAAATACAGCTTCCTCTTTCTACTCACCTGTCTGTAGGAACCGCTGTCCAGGCCAGGCTGTGGGACGTGCCTGCAGTAATCTGCTGTATTGACACCCCTTCTAAACCAATCACTTTCTTGGGTTTGGTGACTGGCGTTGAGGTATGGCCCTGCCCACACTGCCCCATGGCATTGTTGCCCCAAGCAAATACCTCATTTTCTACAACACAAACCAATGAAATGACTCAAGCAAAAAAGCTTTTTTTTTTAAAGAAAAAACTTAATGCAGCATCAATCTGAGAATTTAATTTCAGTGAATAACGACTTTTTCTCACACAAAGCTAGCATATGGCTTTAGAAAATTTGGAATATAGCACACAAGTTGTATAGACTATTTTTATGAAATCTTTTTCACACTTAAAAGCATCAGTTCCCATTTACTGTATCATCAAAACCTTTTTTAGAGGTTTGGAATTACATGAAGGTGAGTAAATAATGAAATTAAAAAAAAAAAGTTAAATATTCCTTTAATCCTCAACAGTGTTACTGCAAACTAATGCTAAAAAAAAAAACTAATTAATGTAACTAACTGAAACTAATTGAAATAAATCTGAAATAAAAAAAATAGACATATTGTCTTGGCAACTAAATGAAATAAGTTTAAGTACTTAAAAACTACTAAAACTGAAATAAAAATCAAATAAAGCTACATAGAAATACTTAAAAAAAAAAAAAACTAATAAAAATTACAAAATCACAATAAGATTACTAAAACTTTAACATAAAAAATTAAAATACAAAATAAATATAATATAATTATAATATCAAATAAATATATAAATAACATAAAATATATCATATAAATATCAAATAAATATCAAATTTAAAAAATAAAATAACATTTATCAACAATTAATTTTTTTACAATTTTCTATAAAATTTCTATAAAATTAAGTTCTATAAAGCAATTAAAAAGTTAAATTAAATTAAATTAAATCATTTAAAATGCAGTTTAAATACCAAACTCTGCAGACGTTAGAAAAAAAAAATATGGTCAGCAGAAGTTGCCACTATCAGAGCAGAAATTACACATTTCATTTTTTTTTTTTTTATCTAATACTATTAATACTATTTTCTTTCTCCATCTCTCTTACCGTGAGACAGAGCGAGACAGTGGCTGTCTCCACAGGAAATGTCTATGATTTTAGTAATACTGAGCTCCTCTATTAATCGAGGTCTGAGTGAGGTGGTCTCAGACGAGCCGCAGCCGAGACACGAGCCGCAGCCCCATGCAAACACCTGCATCACACACACAGGAGAACACAGAGACACAAGAATTTATATGGGTGTATAACAGTACATGTTTACTCAGCGATATATGTGAGGTTGTGTATACCTGGCCAGCAGATGTCAAAGCCAGTGACGACTGGCTCCCAGCACACACTTTTCTGATAATGAAGCCATGAAGGGCTTCTATCACTTTAGGCCTGTACACACGGTTTGTGTCCCCATGTCCCAGTTTACCTGCAACACAAACACAGAATTTACATGTACAGAACTGCCTCTGAAATGGACAATAGTAATTTAAGGTGTGTCACTTTCAGAGGCCGTGTCTGCACTTGTTTCACAACTGGCTCTATATTTTGCCTGATAAAAACACTTTACGGCAGCTTTATTTGAAATAGGTTTGAGCCTGTCTGCGGATGTTATGTCTGATAGTGCTACAATACAGAACAGAGCACTCTGAAGGGTACACAGCTTTGCTGTTTCATATGTACACACTGATTTTGATCCAGAGTGTTACCATGACAAGCTTGAAAACTCATGAGTATAGTTGTTAAAATTCTTATGTTAAATAAAACTTGACTCAAATATTGCGTCTTTGTGTGCTGTTCAATTCAAATTGTTCCATTTAAGTGAAAAAAAAAACACGAAAATCTACTTTCACGGATAGCCATCGAGTGAACAAAAGCTATTGAGTTTTGCAGTTAGAGACTGGCCGATAGTTCTTTTTTGTGACCAATTTAGAATATTATGTTTGAACGAATAATTAAATGAAATAAAAATGACAGACAGACAGACAGACAGAATAGATAGATAGATAGATAGATAGATAGATAGATAGATAGATAGATAGATAGATAGATAGATGGATATTAAATTACAACTGATTATGGTGTAAAATATGGACTTCTAGGGAAAACATTTAAATACTACAGAAGCATATAATATGGACACTTTATATGAAACATCTGCATACCGTTGTCTCCTCCTCCAAAGGACCAGACGATTCGTCCATCTTGAGCCACAGCAATGGTATGAGAGCTGCCACAGGTCACTTGCCCGACCCCACTGATGTCCTTCACCAGAGTGGGCATGTTACGACTGTGACTGTCGCTGTGACCTACATGACAGGTAGACAGAGTAAAAATGAGACTGAGACAGACAGGCAGAACTTCTGACACAACAGTCTGACTTATTGTCTGACAAATTATTTCACTGTGGATTTGAGAAAAGTCTGTGCAGTGTGTACTGTGCACAGCAGTCATTCAAACCATAAAAACCACCTCACAGAAATCAATAGTGAATTGTATTTCACTGACAACACTATATCTGAGAACAGATCCTCAGGCCTCAGGTGTGGGTGTGTGTGTGTGTGTGTGTGTGTGTGTGTGTGTGTGTGTGTGTGTGTGTGTGTGTGTGTGTGCGTGTGCGTGCGTTTAGTGATGCTGAGAGTCTGTAAGAGGAGAGTGATGTACCGAGTCGACCGAAGTCGCCTTCCCCCCAGGTGTACAGCTCTCCGTCATTAGTCACCGCGGCGCTGTGTCTGTATCCAGCAGAAACACACACCACCACCTACAATACACACATAGGAAACACACACACACTTTGACAAATGCAATACGACAAACTAGTTTGTTACATTTTTTAAGAAATATTAGTGGTTGTTAGAGTGTTTGTGGTTACTGTGGCATTGCTATGTGATCGCTAGGGTGTTATGACTGATTTCAGCATGTCGTGTTGTTGCTTGGGAATTCAGGGGTTGCTAGGGCATAGCTATGGGGTCACTAGGGTGTTTTGGTTGATTTTAGAATGTGGCTATGCAGTTGCTAGTGTTCTGTGGTTACTAGGGCATTGCTATGTGCTCACTATAGTGATCTGGTTGATTTTTAGTATGTTTGGTTGTTGCTGGTGGAATTCAGGGGTTGCTGGGGCACTGCTATGTGGTCATTAGAATGTTTTGATTGATATTATAATGTCTATGCAGTTGCTAGGGTGTTCTGTGGTTGCTAAGGAATTGCTATGTGGTCGCTAGGCTGTTCTGAGTGATTTTTAGCATTTTGCTATGCAGTTGCTAGGGTGTTCTGTAGTTGCTAGGGCATTGCTACTGTATGTGGTCGTTCGGGTGTTATGACTGATTTTTAACATGTTTCTTTGCAGTTGCTAGGGTGTTCTGTGATTGGTAGGGCATTGCTATGTTGTTGCTAAGGTGTTCTGTGTGATTTTACAATGTTGCAGTTGCTTCGGTGTTCTGGGGTTGCTAGTGCCTTGCCTTGTGGTCGCTAGGGTAATTTTTTTGGAAGTTGTTATATTGTTGTTAGGGCATTAAGGGGTTGCTAGGGCATCACTGTGTGGTTGCTAGGGTAGTTTTTATTGTGTTCTGGGGTTGTGTTTGTTAAGGCATTGGTAGGTATTCTGGGTTTGCTAGGGCATTGCTATGCAGTTGCTAGGGTGTTGTGGTTGCTAAGGCATTGTTGTGCAGGTGTTAGATTGTTCCGGGTGATTGCTAAAACATTGCTATGCAGTTTCGTTTGTGTTGTTGGGTTGCTAGAATGCTACAGTAGCGTTAGAGGTTGTTTTTATATTCTATATTCTAAGTGATTTTAGCATGTTGCACTACAGTTGCCAGGATGTTCTGGATTTGCTAGGACATTACTATGTGGTTTCCAGGGTGTTGCTATATGGTTCCTAGTGTCCTCTTAATGATTCCAGCATGTTGCTATGCAGTTTATAGGGTGTTTTGGGTTCTAGGCTAAGGTGTATCTTGTTTCTAGGGTGTTCTAAGCAGTGTTGGGCAAGTTACTCTGAAAATGTAATCAAATTACTGATTACTGATTACTCCTTTTAAAAGTAATCACGTTACTGTTCTGATTACTTTATTTCAAAAGTAATTAGTAATTAGTTACATTACTAGTTACGTTACTTTTTTTCTCCATGAAATTTATGAAACTCCAGCATACACGCTCCTGATAAATATTTGTTATTAAAGCATCAACATTCACAGAACACTGTTATTTTTAACTAAAGCAAGCGGCTGCTGCGTGCATGGTTTGGCATGGCAGAATGCCAGCAAAGAGTGCTGCATTTATAATCTCTAAAAGACATCTCAGTTCATCGCAATCTCACAAATCTCTGTTATAACACAATAAATATATGCATAATGAATCTTTCATAATGTGTACAATTCGTGTTATAATGAGAGGATTCGTGAACACGCTAAATTCAGCACTGCATTGCTCAACGCTGCAAACACGTGTTATAACCTAAATAGAAACTCTGCATACGCTTGCACCTGTTAATCGTTTATATTTTATATTAGTT